ACAGAGATTCTTCAGGACTTTGGATCCAAGGATATTCACAAAGACAAGATGGATCAAGAAACAACGGAGAGTCTTCGCGCACACGTCACACAGTGCCTGGAGAAGCTGACAACCATACAATGGTCGCTTCTGAAATCCGGTTCACTCGATAAGAAAACCGAAGAGATTATTACTAACATGTGTGTGGATATCGTTAATACGATATTCATCCACATGTATGGGGTGTTTAGGCCACCGAAGAGGATAGCTACTCCCAAATCCTCCAAAAGGTCTTCTGGATCCGCCCGATCACAGAAGAGCAGGGTATCTGAAGATGACATTCGCAGTTGTGTGGGGGACACCATCTCTCTGGCCTTATCTGAGGCCACCGGTGTCCCAGACATCAGTTCCCAAAGTGCGCAGAAGATGACAGATGTCGTGATTACAGAGGTCACAGAGAGAGTGAATAAGCTCTCCAAAAGCTCTGAAAGTGGTGGAGGCGATGAGGAGATCGAACCTCTCATCTCACTTTCCTACACCCATAGACTACAGACAATGGTCCAACATGTGGCCAAAATATTTAAAAACTGCAGCAATAAGAAAAGTGCGGAAGACAATCTAACACTGGAAAACTTGCCAGTGGAGGACATTGCACTGACTGGAACCAGGGACTCATGGCAGACCCCCGTTGTTCCTCAGACGAGCTTAGTGGGCAAAACCACAGAAGCCGTAAGACTGATCCTGCAAGAGAGGGCCAAGAGCATCAGTCCAGTTAATTATAATGTAGACATTTCAGAAGAAGAAGGCAACATGTTCGAGTATGGATTCTCCCTGGATACAGATGAGATGGCTTCTGTGATTACCATTGAAATAATCGAGGATTGTAGAATAGACTCAGAAGGTACACTGCCAGAATCGTTGGCTGTATCTGAAAAGCTGTCCCACTGTAAAACAATGGCAGCCAAACTAAAAGCCTATTTTGCACAGCGTTTTGCCATGGGGTCACTACTTGCCCTCATGGCAAAACTGAGGTGTGAATATGAATGCCTCTCAACAGAACCGTCATCTCTGAGTGAGCTGATGGAGAAGGCTGATGTGGTAATTAGAAGCATCATCTCATTAAATGAAGAGAATGTAAACATGGCCGCAGAAGACGAGACCCCTGAGATAATCAGCTCCATCGGAAGCGGTCAAGACAGCACAGCCGTCATAGAGCTTGGTGACATAGTATCAGAGCACCTACAGCCAGAGGCTCCCACGGTGGACTTCCGCTTCAAAATTCAGGAAGAAGTTGACACCTTTACGATGCAGATTAGGAACTGGATCAACCGGCAGCTGAAGCTCCAGAAAAATAAGGGGGACTATGCAAATCTTGCTGTGAAGAACATCAGAGAAGTGATCTGTCAGAAAACACTCACTGATACCCCCTCAGTCATAGGAAGCTGCTGCGTGACACCTGTGGAGGAGGCTTCCACCTCTGTTCAATCCGTCAAGTCACCAAGCGTCATCCAACTGGATACCTACGAGACTGAGTGACGCACACTGCGTCGGGTTGAGGTGAGAATCACCTTCCAGTCGCTGTTACAAGCCAGTCAAATCACCAGATTATGCAAGCTACGGCTGGTGGACACGATCTGGTTTCGGTCTAGGATCAGGTAGAAGATGACCATTCGGACCCCTGTTCAATCCGGTCATGTCACCCATAATGGTGATGAGCTGCACGCTGGTGTGATACAGTTCACCTGGTGGTTGAAGCAAGAAAGACCCGACCCTCCTACCCTCGTTCAGTCCGGTAGCGATTCATTCAGATCAGTTGAGGCCTGCGCGCACGCTATAGAGAACCGCAGACACCAGCAGCCCCATCCAGTGGGACGAAACCAAGCTGCAGACTTATGGTAATGCACTGGTTCGTAAAAATCATGAAAACAGTCCGATAGATCCGGACATTCATGTGACTTTCACTGATATGAGGGGTTCAGCGATGTTACTCGTGAAGATGGCTCTGGGAAAACGAGATCAGGAGACTCGCGTGAAAGGTCGTGTCAGAGCAGCGATAGCGAGGCGATCGAGGAAGCCCGCGAAGGGGTCGCGCGAAGCGGTGCACAAGGAGTTGTGCAAGCTGACAGGCGATGGCAGATATTCTTAAATATGGCCCTCGCTGTCTCAGGGATGTTCAATCCTCTTACAGGATGCATTAACTGAGACACTAATACCCACATCTTGGTGACACCACAGAAGACAGGAGCCGGCGGTGAACAGATTATTTGAGGTTCTTCATTCTCAAAGCGTCTCTTCTGAAAAGACTGGTGGGTAACAGCCTTGTTGCATGCGCTATCTCGGACGCAAAGAGTGAATCTTTGACCAGACACGCGTACTTAACTAATGGAAGCTACGGCTTGGTGACACACTGGTGGTTGAGAATAAATCACTTACCAACCTGTTCAATTCCAGTCAAATCACCAATGGAAGCTACGGTGTACACATAATGCGTGGGTTGACGAGAAATCACCTTCCACCCCTGTTTGCATCCGTTAAGTCACGC